AGAATTCCCCAGCCAGGGATTGCTGGCTGGGGACTTCTGGGAGTTGAAGTCCAGACATCTTCAAGTTGCCAAGGTTGAGAAACACTGATCTATTGTAACCTGTGGCTAATTTTTCATTTTAAAAGGGGAAAGAAAGAAAAACCTCTACATTCAAAAATCAAGAGATACAAGATGAGAGGTGTCTGATTTTGCCAAGCTACAGTGATACGGCACAGCCAGGGGTAGCAGATATTGTAACCTCGCAGATGCTGCTCTATCTTGACAAAAGTCAAGTTGGTGCCTCTCATCCTATCTCATGGAAATCATGCATCTGTCTCTTTGTTAGTCTTCTTCAGGAGTTTTCTCAGGTCAGATGACATGAAGTAAGGCTTCTCCGGAGAGCCATCATTGCGCTCCAGGTCTTCCACTGTAAAGAAACACAAATCCCCCCCAAGCAGAGGAATGTGAAAACATCTTTTCGGGACTAAGCATTGCGTAGGAGGAATCCTGGTTTATGGGAATTAAGGTAAACCCGATCACTGCTTGCAGTAGAGATTAGATCTCACCAGGAGCAGATAAGTACATATGACAAACATTCATAATTGGACTGAAAATGATTCTGATTTGAGAATTTTCCTCTTCTGGTATTCAACAGAAAGAATGTCAAGAGTTTTCCACCCAAAAAGATCTGGTTGGGGACTTTTTAAAACCCCGTCTTAAAGTAAGGGCACAAATTTTGCCGTTCTCAAAGATCCCAGGCACATTTCCCCCCATGGGATACAAAGAACTTGGATAATAGAAACTGTCATTAGCAAATCAAAAGTGGAGTTATGTAAAGTTTTCCTATTCATTATTCACATTTGAAAATTATTCTTTACCTCTTTTCTGCAATTAAACTTCCCTAGATAAACATTTCCTACTCATAGTAAAACACCTCATGTAGTAAAACACCAAGAGATACAAGTGAAATATGCAAATAGCAGATAAAAATCAGCATTATCCCTTTAGAGCAGTTGTGTTAATCTTTTATGCCTTTTGGGTCCTCAAACTTTTTAAACAAGAGGCCGATTCACAGTCCCTCACTGTTGGGGGGAGCGGTGGACCAGTTGGGTGGGTGTGGCTAGATGGTCATGTGACTGGGTAAGCATTGCCAATTTGCCAATTTAGCAGTCCATTAAACAATCCACACAAACCTTCGTTTGTTTTGCTGTTGGGGGTGTTTTATTTCCTTTTGTTTGCATGTTGCTCTTTTGGTGGACTCTTAAGTTGTTTAGTGGTCCGCTTCAGGATACTCAGTTTTGCATCAATTCTTCTCAGCCCCAAGGAGCTTACAATCATCATGTCTTTCTCTCTCTTTCCATATCTCTTTCCCCCTCTCTCACTCTCTCCTGGGGGATCTGCTGCTTTTGGGCTAGTCTGGCTGGCATGGGATAATGCCCCACCTCTCTGCTTCTGCTCTGCTTCACCCAGGATGAATGGAAAGCGTGCAGATATCTTGCACTAAGCATGGAAGCGATGCGTAATTACGTGGCGTGCATAGCCTCTCCCATTGGGACCCTTTGGTTTCCCCCCCCCCCCAGCGGAGCAACGTTGGACTAAAGTCCCTGGCAAATCTCCGAGCTCTTTCCTTGGTTGGCAAAAGTCCTGGCCCATTTTTGCCCTCCCCCGCCTTCCAGAAGCCCTCTGCCCACCTGCAGAAGCCCTCTCCCAGGGCTTGCAAACAACCAATTCCGTTGTATTTATTTTGCACAATGACAATAAAGACTATGCTTATAAGTCCTGCACTTGGCCAAAGGGTGGGGGCTGCTTCAGCCGAACCAGTAGTGGTCTGGCACTCCGGTTGCTCCTCCCACCCACCCACTCACCTCACCCCCCCGGGAAGCTTCCCTGCCTAAGCTGCCATGTGGAGCTGCCCTGTGCCCCAACTGAGCTGCCTCCTCCTGCCTACAGGTAAGTCTCACTAACGCCCCCCCCCC